AATAGAGTAATAAATATGCACTACACTGTTAAATTTCAAGAAGATTGAACCAACTAGGCATGGACCCAGGCCGGGTCGGGCCCGGGCCGGGTCAAGGCCCGGTCGGGCCTCGGGTCCTATAACGGTAGGACCGGGACCGGCCCGGTCAATGACCGGTTCCGGTTCGGGCCGGGTCACCCGCCCGGGTCACGGTTCGGGCAACCCGCCGGGCCGGGCCGGGCCAGTACAATTTTTTTTTTTTTTATTAATTATATATTATACAAATTGCTATTAAAAACAAAGTTCAAGTGCATTTATTTGAAATAAGAACTACATTTGAGAATTGAGAAAAAAATAACAATACGAAATACATTTTGTAAATTGTAATGAATATCAATTGGGATTTCCGCCACCGTTGGTTGTTGTTTTCCCTTTGTCACAGGACTTCATATGTTTTATTGGCATCCCGTATCCGTATGAACGCCCCAAGCAACAGTCTTTCTTGCACCACCTGCAAGTTGCCCACCACAGTCCGGTCTTCGGGTCCTTCCACTTGTCAAAATTGTTTTGCATAAGGGAAGATGTACTTTCCATATTTAAAATGCTATATGTATAAGTAGGAATGTAGGATAATAAGAGAAGATGAAGATGGAGAAGAGTTTGAGAAGAATTGGATAAAAGGTGTAGAAAAATGTTAGAAAATAGATGTATTTATAGGTGTTTTTGAACCCCACTCCCCACACCACCACCCCCGGGACCCCCCTGCCCCCCACCCATAGCCCCAACGGCTATATAGCCGTTTGGGAGCTTTAAATTTTTTTTTTTTTTTTTTAAGTTATACACATATTGAAAAATAAATTAATTAATTTAATGAATTAAGTAAAACTAAAACAAATGTTACAAAATAGGTGTATAAGTATTTAAACAAATTACATATTCTAAATGTACTTTTAATTTAAAAACCGGCTTTATATTTTAGAAAAATAATTTTAAGTCGTTAGATTGTAACCAATTAATTAATTTGAGAAGTGCTACATATGAAAAAGTGAACACATATTTATTTGAAATATGAAGTACAAGTTTACAAATTAATTTGAACTACAACTACAAATTTACAATTTTGAAATATGAAATACAAGTTTACAATTTTGAAATATGAAGTACAAGTATAAATAAATTTGACAAGTGCTATAAAATACATTTTGTAATAAATTCTAAAATACTAATCAATCGGAATCTCCGGCATAGGTAGAGCCACCATCGGTTGTTGAGTCATCCATAAAATCTTGGGAGGGGGTGATGCTCAATTCTTGAGTTCTACGTGCGGCCTTCAACCAATCGTGGTAGCATATAAGCGTCTCAAGAGACTCCGCGCTCAATCTCGATCTAGATGCCGTTAGGACGTTGCCGGCCGAACTAAATTCTTGTTCCACCGCAACTGTTGAAACCGGCATTGATAGTACTTGCTTAGCCATCCGTGCTAAAATCGGGAACGTTCTTTCTTTTGACTTCCACCAGTCTAGAACGTCAAAGTCATCATTTTCTTCAAAATCAACTTCATATGTTAAATACAAAGTAATCTCATTCAATGCGCTTTGTTCAGTGACGTGAGTTGTTTTAGTTTTTTTCATAAGATTGCCAAATGCAGATTTAAAAATCGATTTTCCTTTAGATGAAGATGTTCGTGACGGGGGAGGGGAAGCGTTGCTATATTGTGCACGAAATTCATTAAATAAGGCATAAAATAAAGTACTAACCTCGTTGTATTCCGTTTTCGGATCTATGGGGTTATCGTCATACATTGGAAATTCACCGAAAAACGCAAGATAATAGAAGTTGAAACAATCTTCCAAATTAGCAAGTCTATAACGAGGATCGAGAATAAATGCAATACCATAAATATGGGGAATATGCGCATAATATTTTAAAAACTTTTCCTTCATATGATCACAAAAATAATGAACGAAAACGGCATTTTGAAATTCTTTAAAAGCATCGGCGAGATTAACAGCTTGTGGAATAAATTGGTTTGCGGTAGGTTTATAAACATGACTAAAAGTTTCAGTAGCATTAAAAAAATATATCAAAACATTACAAATTTTTTCGCAAGTGTCGATCTCAGCCGCGTTTATAATATAGTTATCATGTTCTTTTAAAAAAGCAGGAAAATGTTCTTTATATCTAAGAACAACTTTAAGTAATTTATAAGTACTATTCCAACGTATACTCAAATCTTTAGGAAAAGCAACATATCTCACACCTCTTTCAGTCAAATAACTTTGCCATTTTAATCTAAGTTGACCATTACCCCAAATACGTCTAATCCCCCCCTTTATTACCTCCATGGAATCTCCTAACGCTTTTAAACCGTCTTGCACACATAAATTTATAACATGACATGCACAGCGTTGATGAAAAAATCTACCCATCAAAGAATTGGCACCACACAACTCACGCAATCTAGGTATAGCAGCAGTATTATTAGTAGCATTATCGAAACCAATAGCAAACACCTTATCAATCAAATTATACTCAATTAAAATACGCTCAATCAAAATATAAATATGTTCAGCGGTGTGACGATCATTAAATTCACGAAAAGCAAGAACACGTTTATGCATATTCCAATCCTCATCAATATAATGTGCAGTCAGACCCAAATAATATAAATGATGAAAATCATCCTCCCATATGTCAGAACAAATAGTAACACGCCCATCAAAGTTTGCAAAAAAAAATTGTAACCTTACCTTTTCCGCATTATAAAGCCTTATTATTTCTTTCTTAACAGTTTTGCGACTATAATTTCTAAATTGAGGATTTAAACTACCTTGTGCATAATCTCTTAAAGCAAGACTTTCAGAAAACAAATAAGGCAAATTTTCTTCACAAATTAAGTTAGCCATACCAGTCAAATTTTGTGCATCATTGTAGGAGAAATTACCAAAAGGTTGAGAATTCGCAAACCTCGATATTTGAGTTTGCTTCCCCGTTCCGCCGCCTAATTTTGCATACTCCACGGGGTGCTTTGCCTTAAGATGCCTTGCGGCGGATCCGTATCCGCCGGAGGTTCCCAAACTATAATTGTTGTTGCACCACTTGCAAGTTGCGTGCCAATAGCCGGTTTGTGGGTCCTTCCATTTATCAAAATTATTTTTCATTAGTTCAGACTTACTTTTTTTATTACCGGTGGCGGTTTGGGATGAGGCAGGCGCGTCGGCGTCGTGGCTGCCGGCACCCTCCTCCTCGGCCGTCTCCGGTTCCAATTCCTCCGCATCTTCATCCTCAAGCTCCTCTTCGTCAATGGTCGTCGGCATTTGTTGTTGTTGTAGAAAGCGGTTATTATGTCGGGCCAATTCTTGTTGGAGTTGTTCTTCGGACATCGCATCTTCATCTCGCCTTTGGTAACCCGTTTCAAAATCATCTCGGCTTTGAGATGAAGACCCGGCAAGTTCTTTACCTTTGCGGGATTTCTTCCTACCAATCTCGTTTCTTCGATTGCGTTGGAGGTTACCCAAATCAACCGAATATCTACCACCTTCCATCTAAAAAATGTAACAAATATTAATTCACAACAAATATAATAATGGATACAAAACTAATGCAACTAATTAAAACTATTTTAATTAATACTTCAAACTAACTTTGTGCAAAGTAGAATTAATGTGTGTCTCTACAATTAAAATTATAGCAACTTTTGAAGTAAATAACTAGTACAATAAAAAATGTAACAACAATGCTAATTAAGTAGTTAACTAGTATAGTGACAAATGTAACAAACTAACAACTAGTTAAATAAAATGTGAAGTATTTTAATTAGTATAATGAAAAATGTAACAAGAATGCTAATTAACTAATTAACTAGTATAATGAAAAATGTTACAATAATGGTAATGAACTAATTAACTAGTATAATGAAAAATGTAACAAGAATGCTAATTAACTAATTAACTAGTATAATACTAGTTATAGTAAGTAATATATAATATAATGTTTATATTATATAATATATAAGTAAACTACTATAAGATGAGTAATACACTTATATTTTATACTTTAATATATAAAATATATATTAAGTATAAGAATTGGAGATTGGAAAATAAGTATATATAAAATATAAGTAGAGAAGTAGATATTATTATGTATTAAGTATATAGTAATAGTTTATAAAGTATATTTAATACTTTATTATATAAAGTATATATTAAGTAGATATAGTATGTATGTATGTATTAAGAGATATAAGTAGAGATTAAGTAGATAAGAAATATAAGTAATATAGTATATGTAGATAATAATATATAAGTAGATAATTAATATATATAAGTAGATATAATAATTGTATAAGTATTAAATAGTAAAATAAAATATAAAGGAGAATAAGAGAATTTGAGAAGATGAATATGGAGAATTGGAGATGAGTAAAGAGTAGGATTTAGGTAGAGTTGGAGAAGAGGTGTGAAAAAATGTTTAAAATTAGGAGTATTTATAGGTTTTTTTTTTTAACCCCAACCCCCACCCCACCCCCCCCACCCAAAGCCCCCTGACCCCCCCCCCTGGTACCACCCAACGGCTATATAGCCGTTTGGGTGACCGTTGAGCCACCAAAAGAAGCAAAAAAAAAAAAAAAAAAAAAAAAAATTTAAATTTGGACCGTTAGGCCCGGGCCCGGGCCTCCAAAATCAGGACCCGAGCCCGGTCCCGCTTAACCAACCGGGTCTGTGCCCGAACCGGACCCGGACCCGGGAACCGGGCCGGTTCCGGGCCCGCACAGTGGCGGGCCGGGCCGGTCCCGGGCCGGGCGGCCCGAACCGGGTCCACGCCTAGAACCAACCTATAGTTTCTTCATCACTTTTATTTGCTCTATTTTCATTATTTACAAGTTTTCTCTTTCAAATTGTTCCTACTTTCTTCATCATCTCTTTTTTCACTTTCTGTAGTATCTGTTGTCCTCAAACTACAAGCATGCCCAACTTCCTTGCAAGTTCAACCGTTCAACTATAGCTTGCGAGTAAAAGTAAATCGACAAAATATAACAATTTCTTTTGATTAAACAAAAATGTATATTAACATTCAAAGAAACATATAGCTAACAAAAGCCAGCTACAATTGCTCGAAAACAAAAGGGTTAAGGGACCAAAATTTTAACAAAAATCAGAAAGCAATCAACTCTGGGAGAAAAGGCTAAACAAATTTTATAGATCATGCTCTTGGCTTAGGCGATTATGTCCAATTTTTAAGAGTCGTGGCGTCATAGCGAGTCGCATTCCTTGTTCTCCAGATCCGGTACATCGTGCAGCAAAACGCCATCCTTATAACCTTTGACTTGATCAAAGCTCCTTTGCAAGACTTCTGAATCCACTATATCAAGCTAGCAGGTCTTGTCATGCTTCTACCAATACCAAGCTAATCCTAGACTTCACTTCAGACCATACAACTAAAAGGACAAAGGAAAAAGATGTGTGTGACCATTTTCGGCCCATTCTGCAAAAGATACAAGTGTTATCCAAATTTAAATAGTCAAGATTATCAAAACTGACAAGCCTATTTATAAGGGCCAACTAAGTGGAAGGAGAATTTAGGAGGGGTGTAAACTTTCCAAATAAAAGTCACGCCATTCTCTTGGTGGCTTTAGTCCATACTCCGAAGCATATAATAGATTTCGGGCGATGAAAGTTTCCCTTTGACACATGTCTTTCAATGAATTAATAGTATCAAGTCGTGTATAGGTCGGAGAACCGGGGAAGGCAACCAAGGCCTTGGCTCAGCCATTTCTGGTGAAAATGTGAAATCATACTTCATACAGTAAGTTAAAATAGAGTTACCATATCATCCAGGTAAGGAAAATTATATATGCAGGAAATTATATATTCATACAGGTAAGGAATGACCATAAATATACCCCAATGTCATTAGTGAACTCGTCAAAACTTTGCTTCATTAAGAGAATAATTGGAACGAACTCTTGACTATACATTCGAATTCTTCCACAACCTTTTGTTAACTGTATCACTAATCCACAAAATATAGTAGTACGGAAAACATGTTACTCCAAACAAGTAGATTCTTATGCTTTGACAATACACACCAGCCACAGCCTACAAGGGGACATCAGTGTCTCCCCCGGCGAGCAGTTGGGGGGAGCTTCTCGGAAGGACCACATGGAAGCTTTTGTCCTGTCTCGTGTTCTATTCTGCTCTTCAGCTCTCTTAGTATTAGGATTTGACTGAGTTTTTCAGGAGACAGCTCTTCCCAATAAATCCCTATTTATGTTACAAATAGAAATGATATTGCTGCCACCTTTATCTCAATAAACATGAAGACAATGTAGAGCCAACTTCCCACTTTTCTTAAATACGTGTATCAAATGGTTTATTTAAAAAAGACATAGCTTTAGTAAAAGACCTTGAGGCTTTGGGATGGTTGTATTTGTGAATATGACTTGGGTTGGAGTGCATATGATATCAACTGGAACGTCGTGGATCAATAGCTTTTCGACAGGAATATCGTCAACCAATTGTTCGTCATGTACTATAAACACAATATGCAAAAAACAACAGGTGAAATTATGGTTGTGGACATGCAGCTCATTAGGGATGGTTGTGGACATGCAGCTCATTAGGGATGGCTGTTAGATATAACCTAAAATAAAGAATATTATAAAGCTTAAATAAAGAATATTATAACCTAAAGTAAAGAATATTGTAAAGCTTTATATATTAATTTGTATCTTTATATGTGTCTGCCGCGGGACGGCTTAATTGGAACCACATACACAAGAACAACCAAAGTTTTGTTTGGTAGCGAATGTGGCTTAGGGGCTGTTTACTTTCGACTTAATGGACTTAATGGCAATAACGGTTTAATCATTCAACCATTAAGTCATGTTTACTTACGAATTAATTGGAAACATGACTTAATCATTCAGTCAAAAATTGACTTAATCATTAAGCTAAAGAATAGCAGCCTTGCCATTAAGACGTTTTTTTCATCAATTTTTTCAAATTGATTGTGGAATAAATTTATATTAATAAATGAAGTTTTACATTGACATTATAATCTAAGAATAATACTACATTGATTATTTTACTCGATTTAGATTGTTTATTCAGCATACACTTTCCCCCTAACCCCTCGGGGGCATCTTCCAGCTCATTACACAGCCTCACATACAAATATCACTTAATCCCAGACAAACATCTTCAAACAGACGTCTTACAGGACTTAATAGAGATTAAAAAAAATGTAAACAGGCCCCTACTTTGCTCTTTATTCAGAAGTGCTAGGTAAAGAATTATACCAGATGTGACGATAGGTGTTGAGTCATCAATTGCACCCATGTAACGTAGCATGCCATATTCAAGCTCAGCAAACCCCTTAAATGATATGAAAAATTGAAGTTCTGATAATATAATATAATCAAAATAGGGGGAGGAACCTAAATGTTGAAAAGCAGTCAACTTTTTTTCATACATTATTATAATACCATGCATAGACCAATCTGTTATAGTCATATGCTAATTGCATAATTCTCTTATGGTATCGATGTTAACCATTATGTGCAAAAGGTCAACCCAAATAAAAAGCCAGCTCGTACCTCTCCCTTGCCAAGTCGAGCACCAGTTGTTGGATCAACAGCAACAGAACCAATAACAATTAGATCAACTCTGATCTTCTCATCCAGTCCAATCGGCATTCCATATTTAGCCACACCTGCAGAGGTGCAAGCCTCTTTGAGAGTATCAGGACTCAATAATGCCTGAGAAGGTTCGAGTAAGGAGAAAAATCCAGTCCTAAGACGAGGCTGTGGAGTTAATAGTATCTTTCTTCCTGCGCATATATATGAACAAGCCATGCAGGTTGTAATTTAACAAAGATGGAATGTGTTTCGTAATTTAACAAAGAACAGAATTAGATAGCCCTGTCTGGTAAAACATGGGAGGGTTAAAGCAACAATTATACGAAGCGACTATCCTCTTTGGCATGGCTCTAAGTCTTAAAAACAAGCCTGCATGAAATTTATTTTGCTATTGTGCTTGGGTTGGATTGTTGGCGTGTTCTTGTGAGAAGTCATTTATTTTAGAAATTATTTGCAAAGTTTTTAATAACAAAAGTTCAGTAGTCATTGAAAGTAAAAGTGGCTTTTAAAAAGTAGAGTTAAGTGATTGGTAAGAAAAAAGTACTATTTGGTATATCGTTATGGCCTGCAAATAAGACGTTCAAGAGAAAAAGTGGGGAAAAAAGGTTTAACCACCTCTCCGAACTGACAGCCTTTAAGCATTAAAATGCTAAGAGTAAACCAGAACCAGTAGTTTAAAAACACTCCATTTTAGCCTTTTTCAAGAAAAACAGAAAAGTGCTTCCTAGAAGCTGTTGCTAACACTTCCTGTATAGGCATATAGTTTTATTATTTCAACAAAATACAGCCACACTTAGCCAAATGAACGAACAAATGTGGCAAAACACAAGAATGAAGAGTCATAAATAGAAACTTAACCCCCTTCCCCATCAATATCAAGTTCTCATCTCATTAACCACATGTTTTTGAACGGTAAATTTGAGTGGAGGACAGAGTCTATATCTTGATGTATATATCAACATATATATTTGAGATTTTATTGAAAAACTGATGAAAGAAAAAAGAAAAATGTAATATGTGATTATGTGCCATTTCTATCACCATATATTTATTATTGGGATATTCTATTTACCGAATATCATCTTCGGCATGGCTTGTAAGTTGTAACAATAAGACTGCATGAGATTTATTTTGCTATAGTGCTTGGGTTGGACCTGTTGGCTTGTTCTTGTGAGAAGTCATTTACTTTAGAAATTATGTGAAAAGTTCTTACTAACAAATGTTGGTGGTGTTTGAAAGTAAAAGTAATTTTTAAGAGCTTGGTAAGAAAAAAGTATGATTTGGTATTACCTCCGTCCCACTCAACTTTACCAACTTTATGTTGAATGTGAAATTAGAAACTGTATGGTTGAAATTTGTGCAGATGAAAAAGAAATGAACAAAGTCACAAATCCATTGCTTTAAAAGGAAGGGAAAAGGTGCAAATAGGCCCATGTACTAACCGAAAAAGGTCAAATAAGCCCTTATTTAGGAGACTCTGTCCGGCCGTCGTCATTTGGGGTGGTTCCCGGTGGAATTTTTTGATGAAATTTTTTGAGCATCTTATTCATCAAGTCTAGTTTAGTCATACCAAATTTCAGCTAAAACTTCAATCGGGAAGGCATTCAAATGAATTCTTGAAGATAACTGCACTTCAAACTGCGCAGTTATTTTCAAGAATTCATTTGAATGCCTTCCCGATTGAAGTTTTAGCTGAAATTTGGTATGAGTAAACTAGACTTATTGAATACGATGCTCAAAAAATTTCATCAAAAAATTCCAACGGGAACCACCCCAAATGGCGACGGCCGAACAGAGCCTCCTAAATAAGGGCTTATTTGACCTTTTTTTATTAGTACATGGGCCTATTTGCACCTTTTCCCTAAAAGGAAAGTGACAAAGTTTTTGAGACAAAAAAAAGGAAAATTGACAAAGTCCCGTGGGATGGAGGGAGTATATTAATTAAGGCGACATGTTATAGAAAAAGTAAAAAAAAAAAAAAGTTCTAAGCACCTCTCCTAACTTACAACCTTAAGCACTAAAGTGCTAAGAGTAAACCAGAATCAGTAGCTTAAAGCACTCCTTTTTAAGCGAATAAAACAATAACTTAAAAACATAAAAGTGCTTCATAGAAGCTCTTGCTCCCACTCCCTACATTGCTTTATTATTACAAGAAAATAAAACCACCCTCAGCCCAATTTACTAACCGTTGTGGCAAACATAAGAATTAAGAGTGATACACTTTCACCATCAATACGTAGAGTCATATAAATCATTACGCTCATTAACTACAAGTTTTCAAAAGGTAAATTTTGATGGAGGCCAAAGTCTATATCTTGGAACACAAACATGTGTGTGCATACTCAGTTCAATCACCCTCTATTTATTATTGGAATATTCTATTTATCAAGGTGTATACTCAGTTCTCCAAAATCCTTCATCCAAACTGAGTAACTGTCCCTAAGTTTCTAGTTAGCTGAGGGAGTTTTTAAGCAAAAACAGGAATCAGCTAATCTGAAAATATAAAAGAAAACAAAGAGTTTGCAGGAGATTACCATTAAGTGTGAGAAACCTCACTTGTTTCTGTGGTGTATCTGGGTTCACTTTCACACAATTAGCCGCTTTGAACACATCCAATTCACTCACCTGTCAAAACATTTTTTCTGAAAACTTAACAAAATGGAAGGAGTCATTAAACCCAGATGAATTTCTCTAAAGGAATAAGAAATAAAGGAAAAAAGGTGAAGTCTTTATTGGACGGAGTACCTTTTTAGCCGCAACAGAAGCGCCGACGAAGTTGGGTATCCGATGATGAACGGGTCTGGGGAACTGGGCAATGTTCAGAGCTTCCATCAAGTCCCATATCCGTTTCCGGATGGCCCATTTCCACGCCTTCGGGTCGCTCTCGTTTCGGGTTTCCCTCTCGGAGGTCTCCGCCATAGACTGACGCGCCGCCGCGTCGAGCCTCAGCCGTTCAGCCTCGTATGCGGCTTCGTCGAACTCTTTCCCGCTGCGGTTGCTACCACTTCGCATCTCAGCCTTAATGGAGAAAGGGCAGTTTCTTCTATGAGGAGAAATTGAGTCGCCGGAGACGGAAAAAGGAACTTGTTTTGACCTGAATTGGAGGGAAAAAGAAGAGGAAAGCCGTCCTACTACTTGTGCATCCATGGAGGAGAAAAGAGAAATCTTTAGGCCATCTCAAGAAGCATATCTTCAACACCAAAATGGTGTATATGGCAAAAAAAATTCTCTAACAATGACACCAAACATTACACATTACACCAAAATGGAGGAGGGGATGACTTTAAGCCATATATGATTATATGGCCCCATATATGGCCTAGTCCATATCTAACACCATCCAACTTTTTTAATTTCTTTTCCTTTTAAATGTGATCTTGAAGTTTTAATTATTATAGTTTTGACCCATTTTTAAAACAACAAATTAGGATGTTTTACTTGGACTGAAATTGGTTTGTCCGTTCTGGTCTGGTCTGATTTGATCTGGTCTGATCTGAAATGATGTGGTCTGGTCTGATTTCTTTTTATTTTTATAACTACTCAAGTGTGGTTTAATCGGGTCTGATCTGATCCCGAGACAAATTACAGTCCAAGTAAAAACGTCCTTATAGAACAACAAATTAAAATTATTAATTTGATAGAAAAAAATATAATAAAATTTGAATCACACAATATTATAAATAAAGTTTCAAATCCAAACAACATTATAACAGAATACAAATGGTACTTGATAATGTGAGAGATACATCAGTTCCAGATGTTGAAGTTGCAGTTGATGAGGCGGCACGGTTCACTCAATTTCTTAGCCGACATAACCAAATTCACGACAAAGACGCTCATATTGAGCTCCGCAATGCTTTAATTGATCATTTGTGGGAACAATTCTCAAATTCCGATAACTAAACTAAGAATGTTTATTTAATCTATTGCTTTAAGTTTAAGTAGTACTTTATTAATGACGTACAAATTATTATAATATTATTGTATTATTTAATTTTATGTGGTTTTAGCTTTTATTTGTGAAATATTGATTGTTGTATTTTAATTAGTGAAATGCGTGAAAATACATATTAAAATGATGTATTTTAGTTTGTATGTGTGAAATAATGTGTGAAATGTCAATATATTAAATGAGGGGCTAATGTATAAATATATGATAATTAGATACTTAAATAGAAGAATGGTAAAAAGTTAGTAAAAAGAGAATATTCTTTTTTGGTGATGAAAATGGTGTAAACTGTTGGACATAAAATACTGTTTGATGTGATGTTTACACCATTTTAGAATAAAAAATGGTGTTAACTGTTGGAGATGGCCTTAATCAGTTAATCTTGCAAGTGAGAAAGTTATGGATAAGTGGTGGAAGTTTGAAGAATATACGGTCACAAAAAAAATACCGCTGCCGGGATTCGAACCCGGGTGTGCCTACGTCCATCGTCCGCAATATGGATGCTACAGCGGCTTGTTGTTTAGAAAACAGCAAAGTTTTTATAAATACGTTTTCACTTGCACTTCTCCAAACTAGTTGTCCTCCAAACTCCAAAGTTTCCTTGATTTGTTATCGTTCTCGATCAATTTCTTTTCTCTTTTATTTTTATTTATGGCTGGACAAAATGATTTGGTTTATCCAAATTTAATCAAATCAAACCACAAAATTGGTACCTTGGAACCGTTTATAACAACTTGCTCAAACTAAATGATTTGGTTTCGTTTGGTTTAAAAATGAAAAATCAAAATCAAAACCAAACACCAAACACTTGTAATATATAAGAAAATATTTTGTATATGTCTTCCTTTTTCATCTTTCGGATATAAACAAATAATTTAGATATTGAAAATACATTTTTAGCATATATTATTTTACCTTTACACATTTGATACATTCATTATGACAAAATTAGCTAATACGATATATTTGTATTTGTTATGTTTTGTACTCCCTGTATGAAAATATGTTTGACGATAATAATAGCAAATTACATTTATATTTTGTTCATGATTCATTTGAATAAATTTGTGAATTTTACAACATTTTTATCAATGACTCATTTAGTTTTCTTTGAATACTCTATGTGATATTATAAATGTTAATCAACTATAAACTGTTAGACATTTTCATGTCATCAATTTTAGTAAGATAAATTAGGCATTGATTTATGATATTTTTATTATTATTTTTTCTATCTTTTATTTCCCTTTACATTTTATTTAAATACTCCCTCCGTCCCTGAAAATTGTTCCCTGTTTTCTTTTTGGGCCGTCCCAAAAAATTGTTCCCCTTTCCCCTTTTGGAAAGTTTTTTGTGGCTACAATTCATTTACCTTTTTCTTACTCAACCACAACCATACATTTCCGCTTTATTCCCACTTTCTTAAACTCTGTTCCAAGTCAATGCGGGAACAATTTTCCGGGACGGAGGGAGTAATAAATACAAGAAGATGAGATGGACTACTATTTTTATTTTTTAATTCTAAAATATAGAATTTGATCAAATAAAATAATAAACATATGAAACCGAATCAAATCGAACAAAATTGAACCTAATAATTTTCACTCTGTAACCCAGAACATCAAATCAAACCAAACTGAAACTGCACAGAAATCAAATCGAAACACAAATGATATTGATTTGGTACAATATCTCTCAAACGGAATTCTCATCTCTAATTTTATCTCTAAAGCAATTTTCATCAAATTGCTTTCGAGCATCCTAAGCTGAAATTCGATGAATATAATCTACACTTCATGTAGAATATGCTCACAAAATCGCATCAAAAGTATCTATCTGGAAGCACCTCAAATGGAGGTGGTCAGATGATGTTCCGGTCACCAAATTCCTGTCAGAAATATTTGTCTTGCACAATATACCTTATATGTTGAGGACCATGCCAATCCAAGTAGTTATTATTTTACTAATTTAGTCCCCTTTTTTATTTATTGTTTGAAATTGTATTTGTTACTTGAGTTCACCTAAAAAGGGAATTAATATTCTGTTGATTATGTTATTATTTGTTCATAATAAAGTACTAGTATTACGGGCGATTTAATACTACGTACTTCTTACTTATGGTGCACTACTAGTATAAGAATATTATTTTGAGGTTGAACTACCTTCTATTGGATGTGTACCTTGGACCTATTAAATCCTTTTGATGTCTATTATAAACCTTTATGTTTTTGTTATGTTTAAATTGAATGTTTACATTACATTATTTTTGTAATATTTGAACATTGGGATATCATGTATCATGTATGTATAATGTAATTGTCATAATTTTGACAATTATTTTCATGATTTTAAATTTGAATTTTTTATGTCACTGAAGGTAAAATATGTTCGTTTTATGAAGATAATAATCTTTTATAAGGAAACAAAAAAGGCAAGAACCGAACCAACAGGTTCTAATCTTTTATTAGAACCAAACTAATTTATCACCTACAATTTTTAATATGGTTCCACTAAATTTTAACCTGAACGGAACCAATCCAAGACGTATTTCTTTTTATGCTTCTACTCTAATGTTCATGATATCCCCTCAACCCTAACTCTATTTTTATCAAAAATAATAACTCGTCCCCTTCTGAAGTCACTGCCACTAGGTGAATTGATTCCATGGGCCTCGAGATTGTATTTGTTTTTTATCAAATGAACGAATACAATATTTGAATAAGCATCGATCGAGTCATGTTTTTATAATTTTCTGTAGTAATGCTCTTTTATTAAAGACTACGTTGCTAGATTGGATAGGATGACGGGCAATTCTTCTAGGATTGATGCCTTGATGGTGTGTATCGCCTGCCTTGTTAATGCTAGGGAAATTTAGTAACTATGTTGACATTTCTTAAAAGAATCGGACTTTTTAAACACACACACACAAATACATAATTCCTCTCGTACTTGCCTGCAAAATTGCAAATTACTAAATTTCATACACATCATTTCATCAAAATTCCAAAAAAAGAACCATATGGGTGTGTAGTTGCTTTTTTCTAATCTTCCAGTATTTTCCTATGTTTTTAGATCATTGTCAATTGAAGCTTGAACTTCAATGGTTTCAGTCTTGAGTTTTAAAACCATGGCTATTAGAGTGTTGGTCACTTGGTCAAGATTTAAACATAAATGGCACCATAGTACCATACCAAAAATATCGAATTGGTTATTGGTTTAGTCTAACATTATAAGGGACAGTAATAAACTAATAGTTGCTTTACACTGCATATGTAGATTAGTAGATATGCTCATTAGTCATTACAACAACAAACCAAAAATGTTCTTTTACTGGAAAAAGGGGATTCAGATAGCACAATTGTGTTCTTTTGATGCATTTCTTACAATGAAAATGAATGAAATTCTTATCTGCACCAAACCAAAATGTTCTTGTGGGGTCAAACATGGAAAAAAGCTTCTTTGGGTAGCAAAGAAAAATTACACTGTGGAAGTTCATTTTTTTCTTTATTGAGAAAGAGATACACTCCTTAATTTATGAGGCAGGTCCTATAAATAATAAATAATATATATGTTCCTTTTGAAAGATTAACACATACCCTTTCTGCAGCAAGCCACCACCACATACTGTACCTAAAGAATGAATTAAAAAGCTTTCCACAAAAACAAAGATTTGAATGTGTCTGTCTGTACACAACCACCACCTGAACCCTTTCTTCTTTCTTCACTTCATCTTCTGCTACTGAAGTCTCTGCTCTGTTCTCCAATTCCTTTAAGTAAAAAGAACTGTAAAAACAGGGTTCCTCTTTTACTCGCAATCTAACCCACATACCTCTAACACAAGCCCGTCCCGTGACACAAACGGGTTTATCCGAACCCACAACAGCGAGAAGATGGAAGCAAGAAGAATCGACCAGACGACAATGATGGTAGGCACCCCGTTCTGTTTCCCCATCAAACCCTTGAGGAAGGGGTACAGGTGAATGATGACCCAGAGGGCGAAGAAGAGCCTGCCAAACAGTGGGCCCCACGAGTCGTACCCATTGTTGATGGCATCAGAGACTCCGACTATGACGCCGATGATGTTGATGATGAGCAGCGTTGTGGGAGGGATCAGCAGAGCCGTCCACTTGAAGATGTACAGATCAGCAAAGTCCCCGTCATCAGCTGCTTTGGACGTGACGGTGAAGTTAGTGTTGACCCCGGCTAAGACCTTGAGAAGACCTTGCCATAGAGCAAAGAAGTGGGAGGAGACTCCTCCAATCACCCAGAACTGCTCGTTCCTCCACCA